AGTATTCCAACATGATAACAACCCCAAACACACCTCCAAGACGACCACTGCCTTGCTAAAGAAGCTGAGGGTAAATGTGATGGATTGGCCAAGCATGTCTCCAGACCTAAAACCCTATTGAGCATCTCAAGGCCTCTAACATCCACCAGCTCCGTGATGTCGTCATGGAGGAGTGGAAGAGGACTCCAGTGGCAACCTGTGAAGCTCTGGTGAACTCCATGCCCAAGAGGGTTAAGGCAGTGCTGGAAAATAATGGTGGCCACACAAAATATTGACACTTTGGGCCCAATTTGGACATTTTCACTTAGGGGTGTACTCACTTTTGTGGCCAGCGGTTTAGACATTAATGGCTGTGTGTTGAGTTATTTTGAGGGGACAGCAAATTTACACTTATACAAGCTGTACACTCACTACTTTACATTGTAGCAAAGTGTCATTTCTGCAGTGTTGTCACATGAAAAGATATAATAAAATATTTACAAAAATGTGAGGGGTGTACTCACTTCTGTGAGATACTGTATGTATGTATATATATATACACACACACACAGTCAAACCAAAAATTATTCAGACACCAGATATAATTCTGGTTCAATAATGCTGCAGCCAGATTTCTAACTGGAGTCCACAAGCAGTTACTCTCTAGCTCAGCCTCGAACATGACTGAAGTCAAGAGGGGATCGTGTGTTTGCTGTTGTTGGACCTAGGCTCTGGAATAGCCTTCCCTTTAATCTGAGATCCCTGTCCTCTGTACATGAATTTAAATTGAAATTAAAGGGTTAGTTCACCCAAAAATGAAAATTCTGTCATTAATTACTCACCCTCGTGTTGTTCGAAACCCGTAAGACCTTCGTAAGACAGTACCGTGAACGCGCGTCCACAAGTGACGCAGTAGAGATGAAAATGTGGAATAAAGTCGTTATTTTTGTTTTCTTTGCGCAAAAAAGTGTTCTCGTAGCTTCGTAACTTTACAGTTGAACCACTGATGTCACACGGACTACTTTGTCGATCATCTTGGTGCTTTTCGGGACCTTGAACGTGGTAGTTACCTTGCTGTCTATGGGAGGGTCAGAGAGCTCTCAGATTTCATCAAAAATATCTTAAATTGTGTTCCGAAGATGAATAAAGGTCTTACGGGTTTGGAATAGGGATGTGCGCGATGTCGTTTAAACGAAAGTTTTGTATCCGACTAGTCTAAAAGCAAGAAACCCCCAAAAGACGGTAAGAAAAAAAACCCTCTGTGCGTGCGTGTAGCATATACAGTATAATAGCCTATATTTGAAATACTTAATTTATGAATCACACTGTCCAATCCCTCAATGAATTCCGCTTGCCGCACACTTGCCTCACGTTATCATTTCGTTTTAGGCAGTCATTAAAAAGAAGAGCATACACTCAACATAAGCCAAAGCATAGCTTATTTACTCAAATCAGCTGGGGAAATGCAGAACAGTGGAAAATCAATCAATAGCCTGACAGAATTCTTAATCTTCATATAACGTTAGCCAACATATTAAAACACAATTCAAAAACAATAGGAAGGTTTATCAAGAAATAACATTAAAACGGCTTTTAAAAACGTATACTTTGTGTAGGCTATATCGTCTAAAAACTAAAAAAAATGCAACAATGCCCATTTTACTTACTCAGACCATGTGTTATTTGTTCAGTGAAATTATCAACGTGGTCTGGTGAAAGACGGGACCTCTATTTTAACAATAAAATTCCTGCACTTTAAAAAACGCGCTCAGCAGGAACTGAAGTCGCAGGCATGCAGAGATAACGAAAAGCAAGCCGATAAGAGTTTCAGAAAGCGCCTGGACATCCTGCACCACCACCGAAGTGGGTTTTCGTTGGAGGAATAGACGGTGCGGACGGGATCGCAGCGCCGGCGGGTTGTAGTGAATGACGTGATTGACACATTTGCTGGCTTTGGCTAGCCTCTAAGCTAACGCCTACATGCCTGTATTGAATATGATTACGCATCACTCCAGTAGAGTTATTGTAAGACAATTTGACATTACACCGTTTACACAAAACGTTTCCGTTTCCTTCTAATTCAAAATAATCCCACACCTTCTCGTCTTTCGCATGGTCATTTTTGAACTTGCCACAACTGACACGAAGAAAACGCATGTGAGGTCTGAGGAAAAATGTAGTTTCCGCCCAGATAAACTTTTAAAAATAATGTATTATTTTTCAAACGTTTTATTTGAACTTGTTATTTAAAATGTTTTAAATGCAATGTTAAAATGATGGTAATTTGAATGATAAAATCATGTTTTTGTTTTTCTGTCGTGTAATCGACTATTGTTTTCAGTGTCGACTAGTAGGAGCTGTACCGTTTAGTCGACTAGACCCGCACATCCCTAGTTTGGAACAACACGAGGGTGAGTAATTAATGACAGAATTTTCATTTTTGGGTGAACTATCCCTTTAAATCTTATCTTCTGGCCCGAGCATTTAGCAACTCTTAATTATGATTTATTCTCATTATCTCTTATCTTAGTTTTATACTCCGTAAAGCACAGTGGTCAACTCCTGTTGTGTTTATTTGTGCTATATAAATAAATGAAATTATTTTTGATATTTTTTACTAGTGGATGCAGGACACTATAGCTCATTTATGTAAGTGAGGATAGCAAAATGAATGTCATACCCAAAAATTCTTCATACAGTGGACTACCAGTAAAACTGATAAAAATGTGTTACCAAAATTATTCAGACACTTTGACCTGACCATGTTTTGCTTAAGTGTTTTTTCTTTAATTGCTAATGCTAACTTTTCACACCACAGACTGAACAAAATTAAACATTGCTTGGTAATTGGTTGACCTAAACTGGTATGATCTAATTGTGTTTCTTAAATTTAACAGCTATTCAATCTAATTCATTACATACCTTTCTATCAAAGTTATGTGATATTATCAAGATTAATTTGTTCTGACAGTTTAACTCTTGAGTTCTTGTCATATTTTATTACCATTTTCTAAACTATAGCGAATAAACTGTGATAATGTGAGCAATGTTGAAGGTGTCTGAATACATTTTGGTTTGACTGCACATAACGTATCCATTATATCATTCAGCTCTAAGCGACACCGACCGCTGCAATGGAGGGTTTCTTCCCGTCTCCTGCAGGTGGATGCGTCACATCCGCCCCCAGAAAGATGACAGGCTGTTGAAACACTGACGGCCTGAGAAACAGCACATACAAACACACTACATTAGTTAAGAGTTCATGAGCCATATTTAACATCATCACAAACCAGCCATTAGCAATGTTGTATAATACTGCGTTGGCTAGTGTCTACAAATCAGCTTTGTCTGTATGTAGCAGTCAATAAATCAGGGTTTCCCAAAAGGAGGGTTTATGAGTGAACTGCAGGGGTTTCAGGATTTGATGAAAAGCAAACAATTAATCAAACAATGTAAAATGAAGCCAGTGCTACACCAAAATAAAAGCTTGAGGGTTTGAATATTTGAAAGTTTTAACTTGTAGTCTAAAATAAAATTATAATGATCAAATATTCATTTTTCAACAGTAATAGGCTACATTCTTCATTTTTAAAGAGTTAAAGTTACTATCTAATAATAATAAGTGTTAATTTCGTTAACGGAAAGTATGACGAAAAATATTCGTCATTTTAAGCAATCTGGCAACCATGCGCACACGCTCACTCCTCATTGCGGAAGCGCCGCTGCCGATGATCTGAAAACAGCGACAAACAAGCTGGAGTTTAGCGATCTAAATGAAAGCGTCACTCAACCGGTCTGTGTTCCCTCATGAGATCTCGACTGTATTGTTTGTGACTGTGATCGCTGAATAAATGCACTTACTCAACCGCTGTTGTTTTAATAGAGAAATAGGCTATTGCCATTTGGCATTTGCCAGTTATTATAGTTAAACTTGACTAAACAAAAACAGGACAAGGTTGACTAAATATGATAAATAAAATGTACATTTGAGTAAGACTAAGACTAAATTAAGAATGGCTGCCAAAATTAATACTGCTGTACGGTTAATTAATAATAATCTTATTGCTAAAATGTCAAGTTTTCACAAACTAGACTAAAATACTTCAGATTTTCTTTGACTAAAACTCGACTAAAATGTTGAGACTTTTAGTCGACTAAAACTTGACTAAAGCTAAATAGGATAAGGTTGACTAAATATGATAAAAACTAACAAGGACATTTAACACGGGACTAAGACTAAAATTGAAAATAGCTGACAAAATTAACACTAATTAATAACAACCAGTATTCTGACAAAATAAAAGCTAAATGATTTGTAATGTTAAGATTGAGGGTTTTAATATTTGAAATTTAAGCATTTAAGACAAACATTAGTATTGTAAGTTGTAGTCAAATAAAATTATCATCAAATATGAATTTTTCTTTTATCAGTAACAGCTTACATTCCTTTATTTTTACAGAGATAAAGCTACAACAACAACAATAATTTCACATACATATATATATATATATATACACACACATACACAGTATATATATATGCCAAAATAGAATTATCAGATTTTAATTTTTTTTTACTTTAATAGCCTATATTTCTGTCTTCATTTGTATAGTTAAAGATACTATATAAAAACAAAAATGTTCTGTTCCGTTTATGTTTATGTTTATGTTCTGAAAACCAAAACAAGGCTGGCAAAGCAAACCGTTGATGCGGCACCAGGATGTTGTTGTTGTTGATTCCACCAAGTTTGACGTTGATTTTGAGGCAGAGGTTGGAGAGCGTCTGAGGCGAGGTTTTCACCACGTTCTTCACCTGAACACACTGAGTGGCCATTCCTAGAAGAGTGTCTCCCACACGCTTCACCTCCGCTGCACAGATCAAACGTGTGTTCATTAGTCTGAGGGCGTTTGGCAGGAGGGCGGCTCTGCTCCGTGTGCGCTGTTCTTACCATAGACGGGTGTTTTTCCGGGCAGGATGACGATGATGAGCTGCAGTCCGGAGTAGGTGTTCTTCAGGTGTCTGAACATGGGCTCCACGCTGTCGGCTCCCTGTGCGTACTTACAGAAACACGGCTGACCCTGGATCGGCATCCCAGCGTCCTTTGAGATCTTACGCAGCTGGTCCGTGAAGTTCCTGAGGAAGAGATCTTCACATTAACACCAAAGCATTCGTAGCTGATTTATTAGCATGAAATATGTCTTAGAGTTATCAAGGTTGAAAACAGTTGGGGTGCTTTTTGATATTTCTCAGAAATCTGCAATCTCTAAAGAACAGCATTTGAATTAATTAGAAAAAAAAAAAAAAGAAAGAAAGAAATCTCATTCCACTTGAATTTTCATTGGTCACATTCCCACGGTTTTGACCGATTCAATATTACAATAAAATAATAATTGCCATGATTTTATTGTGATTATTGATTGTTGTATTGGGATTATGGTCATATTGTGAAATACAAATATCACTAAAATATAAAACTAAAACTGAAACTGAAATCATAAAAAGCATTTTTGTTGCTTGAAATAAAAGGTAACACTTTAGAATAGGGAACACTTATTCACTATTAACAACGACTTTTTCCTCAATAAATTCCTAATTTGCTGCTTATTAATAGTTAGTAAGGTAGTTGTTAAGTTTGTTAGTAATATGCATGCTAATAAGCAACTAGTTAAGAGACC